TTGTGCTGCTAATAAGACACTCCGCATTCCCGGATGAGAAAAGGGAGGAGACAAAATCACCCGTTGAATTTGACGGCACAATCTAGATGGTGGGTTCTGGGTACACGCAACAAGCTATGCTTAGCAGGTGCGCTGAGCCCAAAGCCAAGCGTGCATACCACTGAGAACAAATTTATAAAAAATATATATTTATTGCAAAATATGAGAGGTTTCAGAAAATTCCACCTGGCAGTAGCCGTTCGCACAAAAAATAAATGCAATGAAACGTTTTTAATAAGTTTGCTACGCAGTATATACTACGCACTCTGTCGAGAAGACATTGCTTTCGTGCAATTCCATCAGCTGGAATAGATACATTACAAAGTATCCACCCAGAACAATTTTGTTGTATTAAACGAGACCCTTTGGGGACATTTGTTCAGCCCACACCCTCAGTTTACCGAAGTTCTTGGAAAATACTAGGCCTGACAATCAGCACTGTGATTCGCTCCAGCGCGTTGGATGCTGGCTGCGCCATTGTTGCTGTTTTTACATCGGTGCTGTGTGGAGCAAGGGAGGCTTTTAAGAACATTTCATTCAAGAATCATTTATCTTGGAACATGCCAAGGCATGTAAACCCTGTAAGCTCTGCATGTACCGTAAGCAAACTCTACAGGTACTGCAAGTGAGCTCTGAAGTACTGCGTGCCTATAAACAGGGACACTATAAGGCAGGGGGGGGGGGGGTGTCATCCGTATCGGTGAACACTGTCAAAAAGTGGCAACATCGAGCTTACGTGAGAATACAGGTAGTTTGGCAGCAAAGCCTGCATGACGTCAAGTATACCATATTTGATGACGTCAATGGCACGGAAGCCTCTCAGTTAGCCAGCTGACCGCTACACAACCCACTAGTTTGAATGGTGAGTATGTTTTGGGGGCGTGCGGCTGGCGCTTCCCGGATGGACTCTGAATGAGTGGTCCACGGTTTTTTCATGCAAACACAATTCTGGAAGGGAGATTGAATCTCGGAACAGTTTGACCTCATCAGAATTTTATATTCTTCCGTGGGGTGTACATAACTAGGGGTTAAACGTCATGCGGCGTTTGTAGCGCATCGCGTGCCGCAGTAGCTTGGCGCTTTATATCAGTGGGTTGTGGCCAGTTGCCATGACTACGCCTCGTACGAGAGATCTCCTGAGCAGTTTGTCTTGAACAATTGGTAGCATTTAAAATGCTCAGTCTGTGAACATTTTATTATGCATGTGCGTGCAAACCCTGATGTAAAGAAACACTTGACAGTAGCATCATAAAGCCAATATCATAGGGTTTTACTGTACTTACCTTACTGCACTCACATCACTGTGATAAGAAGAGCGAGAGCTATTACAAATCAATATTGCAAATGTTCATATAATCATACTTATAGGTAATGTAAATTATGCAAGCTGAGCTGTTCAACTCTGCCACCAGGCACAAACGGCACAGACAAGCCTAAGGCTATCTAACGACAAGCCTGGTCATGGAATGCAATACGCCACAAACGCCGCATGACATATAACCCCGTGTTATATCATCATACATGCAAAAATCGTACATTCTGATGAGGCTTAATTGTTCCGGGACTCACTGCTCATTCCCGAGATGCGTGCGAATAGCGAAATGACGGATAATTTCTTCTCAGTCCAACGGGGAACAGCCAGCCGCACGCCTCAAAAACATGCTCACTATTCAAACTAATGGGTTGCGTGACAGTAAGCTGGCTAACTGACAGGTCTCCGTGCCACTGATGTCATCAAATATGGTATACTTGACGTCACGCAGGCTTTGCTTCCAAACTACCTCTTTTCTCAAGCAAGCTCTATGTTGCCACTTTTTCGGACCGGACGGTTCTACCTCGTTTAGCCTTGCCTTATAGCAAGGCTATCTAACGTTTAGCCTTGCCTTATAGCAAGGCTATCTAACGAGGTAGAACCGTCTGGTCCGAAAAAGTGGCAACATAGAGCTTGCTTGAGAAAAGAGGTAGTTTGGAAGCAAAGCCTGCCTGACGTCAAGTATACCATATTTGATGACGTCAGTGGCACGGAGCCCTGTCAGTTAGCCAGCTGACTGTCACACAACCCATTAGTTTGAATAGTGGGCATGTATTGGTGGCGTGCGGCTGGCTGTTCCCCGTTGGACTGAGAAGAAATTATCCGTCATTTCGCTATTCGCACACATTTCTGGAATGAGCAGTGAGTCATGGAACAGTTAAGCCTAATCAGAATGTACGATTTTTGCATGTATGATGATATAACACGGGGTTATATGTCATGCGGCGTTTGTGGCGTATTGCATTCCATGACCAGGCTTGTCGTTAGATAGCCTTAGGCTTGTCTGTGCCGTTTGTGCCTGGTGGCAGAGTTGAACAGCTCAACTTGCATAATTTACATTACCTATAAGTATGATTATATGAACATTTGCAATATTGATTTGTAATAGCTCTCGCTCTTCTTATCACAGTGATGTGAGTGCAGTAAGGTAAGTACAGTAAAACCCTATGATATTGGCTTTATGATGCTACTGTCAAGTGTTTCTTTACATCAGGGTTTGTACACATATGCATAATAAAATGTTCACAGACTGAGCATTTTAAATGCTACCAATTGTTCAAGACAAACTGCTCAGGAGATCTCTCGTACGAGGCGTAGTCATGGCGACTGGCCACAACCCACTGATATAAGGCGCCAAGCAACTGCGACACGCGATGCGCTACAAACGCCGCATGACGTTTAACCCCTAGTTATGTACACCCCACGGAAGAATATAAAATTCTGATGAGGTCAAACTATTCCGAGGCTTCAATCTCCCTGCCAGAATTGTGTTTGCATGAAAAAACCGTGGACCACTCATTCAGAGTCCAACCGGGAAACGCCAGCCGCACGCCCCCAAAACATACTCACCATTCAAACTAGTGGGTTGTGTAGCAGTCAGCTGGCTAATTGGGAGGCTTCCGTGCCACTGACGTCATCAAATATGGTATACTTGACGTCATGCAGGCTTTGCTGCCAAAATACCTGTATTCTCACGTAAGCTCGATGTTGCCATTTTTTGATAGTGTTAACCGATACGGATGACACCCCCCTGCTATAAGGATAGCAGCGTTTGTTTTGTCGCGTCTGCGCCAGAGATGCCGCCGGTTTTTTAAGTTTTGAAAACTTTGGGCAGGAAGGTATCTGTCATGAGACCTGTCATTAAAGCATGATCTTTCTTAAGGCCAGCTTACCGCAATTATAACAGATTAGGCGTCTTTGCAAACGTTTTTAAATTTTTGCGGTCCATTCCTAGCTGACAAGCGCTGATAAAAGGTGTGCGGTAGGAAAATACGCGCTGAAAGGTTGTGAAAGTTTTGTAAAGTTTTCCATCATAATCCTTCAGAAAAGCGGCTTGTATTGAAATTTTCCTTAGATGCGAAGAAAACATGTTTTCCATATCATATTGAGCCGTATATTACCGATGCGCTTCATGCCCGTTCGCGATAAACGCTGTGCGCCATCTCGCGGAGCAGAAGTCACGCCCAAGGTATCGTCAAAACCCCTGATGGGGCTGAGCCAAATGGCGAAACAGCGTGACCATTTGACGCCAACAGAGTTGGGAACTTTGCAGTTATTTACATTTTAAGCGACGGAACAGGATTATTGTGAGGACTTTTTTCGTGCCAATATATGGCAAACTGAAGGGGTTTTTGTTTTTGCTAGAACAATTTTCAAGGTTAAGCTTCCCTCATTCTAGGCGTCAGTGCGTTAAGTTCGAGAGCGGTTCCGCAAATGCCGCGTTGGTCGCCTCCCAGCTATTGGCTGTGTGGAAATGCGTCGGGCAGTGTTAGCCCGGCGGAGCTCCGAAATCTTCGCTTCATATCAACTGGTCAATCTAACGTGTTTCGCAATTGATATAAATGGTGCGAGCGGTCAGTGCAGAAGGAGGACGTCATCATACCACTGGACGACTAAATTAGCAATAAATGTCCCGTTAACACTCCCAACCTGGAGTCGTTAGCTGTTTCTGGTCTCCCAGTCTCTTAGGTCCAGTTGACGCCCCTATGGGCCGACCAGTATCGAGATCGCCTGTGATTTCTGAACGGTACGTTCTCCTGACCTGTACAACTGGTTTCACGTACTTACCTGGTGTGGTTGCCGAGGTCTGATATTGGTCCATACAAACCCATAGAGCGGGCGGATTTACGGCTTGCGCACAATACCGCGCGATAGTCTCCAAATCGCGATCCACTCGCGTGAGAAGCTTAACCGTTTTCTCCTCCGTAAGCACTAGGTAGACGCATGTCGCAGCGACGTCTAGTCCCCGAGATCTTATCCTGTCCCCGACCAGTGTCCTCCAGCTTTTCCGCGATTCGAAGATCTTACGCGTCCTTTGTTAATTGAATGGAGAGGTAAAACAGCGGAGGTAAATCAACGTTGCAACACGCCGCCTGCCCAAACAGCTGATATTTAAGTGCCTTAATAACGTTACCGCACAACTTCTCATAAATTGTGTCAATGGTTGCAGAAAATTTCACGTTTTTATGACTGTTGAAATTGTATGATGCGTGACGCGCAGGACTGGTATTTCCTACACGTTTGACATTGCTCACCGAAACCAGGCAATGCATAAAATCAAGTGGCAATGACCACGCCGTCTTCCGCTGAATAGCTCAGGTACGTGCAGGGAAAAAAACTCATTGTAACCAAGCGTTGATTTCTTCGTTTTGCATGATGCGCTCAAAAATTGTCACTACCCTTCGTTCTGGAATTCTGGGTTATGGGACACTTTCATTTATCACACGATTATCTCATGGGACACTCACTCAAAAAGGCATTTAAACCTCTAGGAAATAGCGATGAGCCTCCTGTCAGATGTCAGAAGTCCACCAAGGGATACGGACGGCTCTGTTATATTGGCGACGGTATCACATACACGCACGCACACGCACACATGCACGCACGCACGCACGCACGCACTGCTCACAGAAGCAATCGCTGCACTAACCTGAGAATGCGCCTGTAGATAGAAAAGAGAGGCCGGTTGATCCCCCGCGCCACAGTCCGGTAGAAGTTCTTCCTCTCGTCCTTAGAGCAGCGGAATATTATGTCTTCCGGATTATTAATTCCCCGATCCTGCATAAAACACAGAGAAACATTGCGAAAGCCGGAAAAGACACACATCATTTCCACTAGAAAAAGCAGTCACGGTTCTGGTCCAGGGGTCACGCGCCCTTCGCTTCATTTGTCGCGTCAGACTCTTGGTGGGTCAGTGGGTGGCGGGTGACCCGACCGGGTCAGCGTCGTCCAGCTGGCGATAAATGAAGGAATCCGACAGCGGGCCAGGGACAGCGCCTGTTTTGTGAGGAGCAGTGACGGTTAAAGCTGAAGCGGTCGTCTACATTGTTGATGCGCCAAAGTGAAGCGATCGCTGAATATGGCGTCCGATGGTCGCTACGCCGTGCCGGGCAGCGACGGTGAAATCTTCACGGAGATGACGGTAACCATTTGTGCCAAATTTAGGATATCAGTCATTTTAAACGGCTAATTAAAAGTGAGGAGCAGGGGCGGATCGGACCACGCAAGTCTTCAAAATGCCGGTATTATCGAGAACAATCCACGAAATAGTGTTTTGCGGTAACAACTAGTTGTAAATGCCTTCAAAATATGATGGGACGAATGACTGAAATAGTAAAAAAACTAACTTCAAAATACCCCCTACTAAACTTAACCACACAGGGGCATCAGGCACAAAAACTCAGGAGTTATGGCGACGCATGGTTGAGAAGGACAGCACTGCTAAGGAACCCGATAACGCTGTGAAGCGTGCGGTAGACGTCTGCGGGGCGTAACGCTGTGAAGCGCGCGGTGGACGTTTGCGGGACGAAACGCTGTGAAGCGCGCGGTGGACGTCTGCGGGGCGTAACGCTGTGAGGCGCGCGGTGGGTGTTTGCGGGGCGCAGGAAGACATATTGGATGAGTTCGATGTTTTACCGGCGCTGCGGACATCCTACGGAGAACGGCCTCGGCGCAGCACTATTAGCAGTGTGCTGCGTATTGCGTCACGCGTCGGCCGTCGCGGCTTCGGTGGTGCCCGGCCGCGACTATGCATCAGGTCACTAGACGGGCATCGCTGTGCCCGAGCTGACAGATTTCAGACGCCGCGGTTGACGAACGATTCTCTGTCGGTTCGTACGTACATGCCAGTCCAGCGTCCGTACGCGGCGCGCTGCTGAGCAGCCGCAACCGGCTGCACCGCATGTCGGCGGGTCAGATCCCCTCTACATCAGTGAGTTCCTGCCAGATCCGCTTTAAATCAGCGTGTCCCTGTCAGATCCCCTCTACATCAGTGAGTTCCTGCCAGATCCGCTTTACATCAGCGTGTCCCTGTCAGATCCCCTCTACATCAGCGTGTCCCTGTCAGATCCCCTCTACATCAGCGTGTCCCTGTCAGATGCCCTCTACATCAGCGCGTCACTGTCAGATCCGCTCTACATGATCCGCTCTACATCAGCGTGTCCCTGTCAGATCCCCTCTACATCAGCGTGTCCCTGTCAGATGCCCTCTACATCAGCGCGTCACTGTCAGATCCGCTCTACATCAGTGCGTCCCTGTCAGCTCCCTACATCAGCGCATCCATGGGGGTAGGGAGAATCTTCACTAAAAATAGCTACCCTCTGCGCAAAATAAAAAGCGTAATACATCATCTTCGTACAAAAATGGAAACGACAACATCTCGCATCCACCGAAAGATAACACATCAATTTCGCTTCCATTCGTAGACAACCTTTCTAAAACATTAAACTCGAAAATACGTTCATCGGGCCTCTCTGCTCGAGTGGCATAGAAAAGTGGACGGGCGCCTAAACATCAATTTTCCCAGTCTGCCCTTGACCCTCCAACAAGCCCTTCCGTAGGTAACCGCACGTGTGAAGCCTGCCAGGCGGGTGTGATGGGCAGATGCACAAAACGCAACGCCATCTGCCTGGTAACTTGTCAGTTGTGTACCACTGATTAAAAGATCCCGCTACCTTGGTGAGAAAGCGCGTGCTGAGTGAAGAAGAAACTAGCTTCCATTCGTAGACAACCTTTCTAAAACATTAAACTCGAAAATACGTTCATCGGGCCTCTCTGCTCGAGTGGCATAGAAAAGTGGACGGGCGCCTAAACATCAATTTTCCCAGTCTGCCCTTGACCCTCCAACAAGCCCTTCCGTAGGTAACCGCACGTGTGAAGCCTGCCAGGCGGGTGTGATGGGCAGATGCACAAAACGCAACGCCATCTGCCTGGTAACTTGTCAGTTGTGTACCACTGATTAAAAGATCCCGCTACCTTGGTGAGAAAGCGCGTGCTGAGTGAAGAAGAAACAATGAGCATCTTCGAGACACAAAGGCGAAAAACAAAGCTTACAGAACTCCTCTCGTTGACCATATTATAAAGAAAACACCCCACAGATTCCATTTCACCGGAAACTCAAACAAAAAAATTGCGTGCTTGCAGGGACGTTGCCGTGCTAAAAGTAGTTGAATCAATGGCCATTGGCGACCACAAACTGGGCATGGCATGTGCTTCATCGTGGCGGCTTATCACCCCCACACTACTCGCGTCCACCATTGGTGGCATCTCTGTCCCGCATGTCACTCGCCCATGGTATGTGGCCATCGCTTGTGGTCTGTGATCTGTGATCGCTCGTGTGCCGCTCATTTAACTTAGGGGCTTCTGGCTAATGCTATCGTCCTGGACTTAAAAAACACGAGACTTAGAATTTTGCTAGCTTGTGAAATCTTTCACGTTGAGAAACTGAAACTGAGCAAGCCGTAAAAGTGAACCCTACGTCCTGTTTCGAGTCCTGTTTTAAAGAGAATGTTCCACATCTAAAAATATTAAGGCAAGCATCAGATATGATAAAAATTTACTTTTAACTATTGGTACACTTTTAAGCGCAAAAGCTGTTCTAGAAAGCATCATTTCTCGGTTTAGTAAATATGCTCTCCAATAAGTCATTGTTTGATTACGTCATCGTACCCTGCACAACATTGAGAGCCAATTACAGCCGTTAGATCTGGAAATACAACTCATGAACGCCAGATATGAAAGACTCGACAATTATGTTTATATTGGCCTTGACCGTTACATGGCCAATGGAATGACAATATCTGAATGACGTTATTGTGACGTCATGCCTGGGTGACCTATAAACAGTCTCCCAGTATGACACCTTCGCAGGCGTGTAGCCCAGAAACTAGAAGGGTTTAGGTCTCAAAATGGATAGAGCTGTGAATTGCACCGAATAATTTTCGAGACGGCCATCTCAGTTCAAGTCCCCACACAAATGTGCAACACTCTTTTCAACATCCCGTGACCATTTTCGTTATTGTTTTCATGACCTCCAGTCTCAGCTCTGCGCTGGATCAAATTTAGTACATATACCTGACTCGCACAACGACTGAGCATTGCAGGCCTGGGAAATGGCGGCATGCCAGGTGGGAAGCTTAGACTAACCCCATTTAATGAGCCAGGCATATGACTTTAAAAAATGACGCTGAGAAGCGGAGCGCTGAAATGAATACCGTCGGCAAGACCCACCTGGCAACATCGAGGACTGGTGGGCTATCACACAGGCCACGACATACTGCGAGTGCATGCTCAAAAGGATAAATTATTCCAAGGTTCTACGAATATCCCCCATTTTTGCCGATTTTTCGGATATTGTATAGAGAGATGCCGTAGTTGATAGGAGCCCACTGGACGAAAACCACTAACGATCCTCATTAAACATGACGCCAACCATTAGTTCAGATCCGGTCGGCTTCAGCCAGGGATTAAGAGCATTCTGTAATGAGCTCGGTAAGCTGCAGAGCTACGGAAAAGCTCGACGAACGCGCACTTCGTAACATACTACCAAGAAGTCTTACACAGCACATAATCTTCCTTGTCCCCTGAGATACAGGGCTTCTCTACAAACCTAAGACTATCTTAGCCTCCTGAACACCACACAAAAATCGTGCGTAGACGATAGCAATGATACCGCTACATGAGAGTAATTACATACTGCAATGAAAACCTTCAACCAAAGCACCGTTAAGACGGAGCAATAGCCTTACCTCTCAAAGAAAAACCAGGAGAATGGAGATACAGCTGGGTTAGTCTCCTGTTTTTTTTTCTCCAAGGAATGAGGCTATTACTACTGTCTTATCTACGTGAATAATGTTCCTCGGTAATGCACTGGACAACTTAAAAAGCGCCGCTAGAACAATCGATCCCGGTACGAATGCACTGGTACGCAGTGGAGAGCCCGTATAGATTAAGGGCTTTCTATTAGCACCATTTTCTCTTCGGATGAACCTGAAGCCTGGCCCATCCCAGGCGATCCAAACACCGCCTTCTAAAATGAGCTCTGCTTTTGCTGCGCTGGGCCGTTAGCACTCACGATCCGCCAAATACAAGCATTGAAAACATTCCAACTGGCAAAAACGATTGCAAATGTCCCTTCGAGTAAATCATGTGACGCATTTGATGGAGCGATCATTCTTTTTCCAAGATACGGTTCCAATATTTGCTTGAAAGAATCTCAGGACTTCAAGACGGACCTGAGCAACGTGGAATTGAAACACATTGGCTAAAGGGTCGAAAACAAGGCTTCATTGTGCTCGGAGCTCGGGTTTAAATGGACGGCCTGATAGATAAGTTGTCACAATTACGAACGATATTGCCAACCCGTCCACATGGGCTGCTCTTTGAAAAAGAGGATCGCTAAAAGCGGACCTAGATTCCGGGTGTGCAAAATATTGTCGCTCACGCCGCTTTGTTCCCAAATTAAGTAAGCAAAGTTCAAATCAAAGTAGGTCCAAGTTTGACTGAAAATCAGTAAAAATAAACGTTCAATACGCCAGTCACCTCAAAACAACAAATTCAATTTGAATCAACTAAAACGCAACTTTACTTTCTAAGTTAATTTAGATCAGTTCAAATATTTGCAAGGGTGACGCGGTAGCACGTTCAAGCAATAGCTGATAATGATATAACACGCATGCTATGCAAAGCATGAGCTGGAAGCTCCTGTGCTAACAATAATAAACGCTCAGTACGCCATGGGTACTGGTTTAACGACGTCATTAGGCACGCAATGATAATTTTGGCAAACTCGCACAGTTTTTGCCCTTATAATATTGTAATGACAAAACAACTTTTGTCAACATGACCATCGCTTGCCTAATGACGCAGCTTAACCAGCATCTCCTGGCATGGGTGTAGGTGTCATCTCCTGGCATGGGTGTCTCTGATACCGGGGAGCACAAATCAGGATTGGCGGGGTCAAGCTTGGAGCTGGGGAAACAACCTGACCTGAAAATGGCATGCTTCATGGGAAAAGGTGGTAAACGTGCATCTAAAGGGCAAATTTGGAGGGCACAAAAACCGCACCTTAAGAAAATTGGGGACATGTAAATCTCAGAATTTACAATCGCTCCTTCTGGTCTCTGGAGGGCTACATCCTCAGCTTAAGAACTCCCAACTCATAATGCCGAAAAAAACAAAAGTTTAATGCCTTAATTGTTTAAATGAAGTATTTCACACGATTTTCGTTTCACACAGTATCATAATTTGCCCGCATCTTGGTATCTGCACTCACCCGGTACCAGCGTAGACGCGCCGCCAACCGAGACAGGTCATAAAGCCTGACTAGGTTTCAGTCCAATATGAGAGCGATTTGACCACGCCCTCCACGTGGTTCAAAAGCAAGCGGTTGAAAATGAGCCCAAAACGGCGAAATGACATCGTTTGATGTAACTTGGCAGACGTGACACACGTGAAGCCTACCGTTTGGAAGCCGGGCTCGGCCGACCTAGCGCATGCACCATCGCGCTTCGGACAGCAGGTGCGGTCAGGATTGCCCTAGCATTGTCTTCGGAAGGAGCACGTCCCGTTAATTTAATGCATATGGCAGCGTCCATATTACACCGGACGGCATCCGAGGCGATCAGCAAAGCGCCTAAAAAGAAGTAATCACGAGCTAGCTCACATGGTGATTCGGCGGGCTGTTGCAGCGAGACACACAGTTGGGTAAGGGAGGTCAATTTGACCCCGCCTCCCCTAGCGTCGATTTTTTTTTTCTAGGATCATTTCCGAACAACACCGTATAGCCGTGCGAAACTTTGCGTACCTGTAGGCAGCTGAAGAGTAAATCTTCTGGCATAGAAAATATAACTCGCAAAAGGCTGGCCTATGACGGGTAAAAGTCAGGCCCTGGCTTTCAGCGAAGGCCAGACAACGAAGGCAACTCCTGTGGAATTGTCCAAGCTGAAGCGATAACAGGGTGTTAGACGAAGTCATGCACCTCTTTAAATAGTTTCTTAGACAATAGGACAATTCAACTTGGGACTACGACCAACTGCATTGACCTTGCGGCAGGTAGAAAGGCACACAGACTAAGGTCAAAACTATGCCGCCTTTTTGCTGGAAAACTTTTTCATGAGATAGTTTCTGGCGTTTATTCATAATTCCTGGATCACAGCGACGTTACAAAATTATCTTGACTTCATGTGGGTCACGAGAGGTCAATGATCTAAAATGGACCCGATCAACATTTTGTTTTGAGGTGCGTGCCGCCTAGGGTAGTACCTGGCGCTGATTGTAAATCAAAACATTACAACGACCCCGACGGATTTTAACACCATTGCCTTCTGAAGGTCGAATGAGGTCGAGCACCTGATTGGAACACCGCGATATTTTGTTGATAAGAGGTATTTAGGATAGAGGTAGAGGTCAGAGGTCAGGTCAGTAGAGGTCACATTCATATGGAGCTTTGAACTGAAATAGCTATCCTAAAGATCATTCGGCGCAGTTCACAGCCGCCATTATTAAGACCTAAACCATTCTAGTTTCCGAGCCACATGGTCACAAAGATGTGCAGACTGTTTCGTGTAGACTATTTCAAGGTCACCCAGGAACCCATGACGCCATAATAACGTCATTCAAATCCCACCATTTCATCGGCCATGCCGCGATTAAGGCAAATCAAGGCCAGAAAAAGCCGTGCTAAAGGTCTAAAGGTCGGTTGAAGCCATTCGGCAGGACGGACTGTGCCGAATATTGCGGCACGTTAGATTTTCGCCACCAAATTTTGTCACTGTTCTGACATTACAAGATCAGGTGGTAAAGCTCAAAGCTCACACAACAAGCACTGCTTAGCATGAGCTCTGATCACGGAGATCCATTCAATTAAAAGGCTTGGATTAAACGCAACACGCACGCGCGCGCGCACGCACGTACGTACGCACGTACGTACGTACGTACGTACGTACGCACGCACGCACGCACGCACGCACGCACGCACGCACGCACGCACGCACGCACAACACACACACACACACACACACACACACACACACACACACACACACACACACACACACACACACACACACACACACACACACACACACACACACACACACACACACACACACACACACACACACACACACACACACACACACACACACACACATCCGCATTCAGCCAGCCATCATGGGCGCTGGACACATACCAATGAAGGCTGGGCGCCACTTTGGTAACGGCACCGTATCGCATCATGCCCATATGTAGTCGTCTGCCGGACTGACGTCACCTTCCAGAAGTGGCTGAGAGGTGTGTTGGTGCGACTATAATGTGCGGATTGGCCGACGACACAACAGTGTGAGACCCTGCACGCATGGCTTGATTGGCTTGGACTGCAATAACTTGATACGTGTGGACATACCTAGCATATGGCTTACTTTGTGCATGCTGCGATATTACGTATGTGCTTTCATTTATCGAACACCGCAATTTGATGCGACTTTGTGAAGAAAAGTTAGTGAAAAGGGGGCAGAGATAGTTTCTTAAAGAGGCAATAATATTTTAAAAGCATTAGCGGCACTTTGGCACCTAATAACATGTATGATCTTATGGCGTTTTCTATTTTACCTGTTTAATGAGCGTGGTAGCCTGAGGCAGTCCATTGGGTAATTTTCGCCGAAATATGAGAGCGAGGCCGCAGACTGGCATTTCACAGGCCGATCATTCATGGAATCCACCATATATCCCATAACAGTACCACCACTATGCTTCTAAACAGCACGCCGCTAAAACCGTGCGACCCTGCGGAGAAACCCAAGCACAGCACAGAACAGCCAGTGCTGCACCACCCAGCAGAGCAGGCCCATCAGCCCCGTGGGGCGGGCCGGCGCCGCCGACTGACCCGGCAGAACTGCTCCATATTGGCCGAGAGCGTGTCGACCTCCTCGCGACTCCACATGCCAGTCTTCATCTGGCGGCCGTCGCCGGCGGCCCGGTCAGCGCTGCTGAACCACGACTGCGAGCTGCCGTCGTCAGGCGCCGAGTCAGTGGCGCACTGGTCTCCCCCCTGGGGACGGCATCGGCGTCACCGTCACCACCGGCTCCGGCATCACCACCGCCCACAGGGTGGATGTAAGCGGCAATGCCCGACAGCGAAGGCAAAACACCGGCAGTCCGACCCGTCCCGCACCCGGCGCTGCATCCAGTGGTCATTACCTGGCGTACATACAGCAAACAGTTACACAGCTAGCCGCGGTTACAGCAACGATAGACGGATTTCACGCGATGCGAGGCGCTATCCCGAATGTCGAAATGCGGTCGCGATATTTCCCCTCTTTGGGCATGGAAGCACAGCGCGGTACCACCGATGGTCTGATCATGGCACTGTATGACAGGATGAATGCTCCTCACTGCTTTTTGCCTCCCAGAATGGCGAGAAACTTGCCAGGATGCAACAGCCTGACTGCGGAGACAATGTCCACGACAGAAGCTACGCGTGGCATGGACTCGGATTCCTGAGCTCTATGCCACATTACAATAAAGGATAGCCCGCCCACAAAAGAGGAACTGTGTTCCTAGCGTACAAAGGTCACACGTGAAGTGATTATGGCGCAACAACGAATTTGGCACTCATGGCTATTAACATCCAGTCTATTGACGCTTTGTCTACAAGTCCGTCAGGCGGCACTGTCCCTGAGTTATTGCTACCAGTAGCTGTTAGCGGCTGGGTTGACACCACAGCGTCAGGTCGTCCCACCTCTGCGGAGGCGGCGTCCGCCTCCTGGTCCTGGTCCAGGACCTCCAGGATGACGGGCTGGCCGTCCTCCTGGAAGAGCACGCGCTGGCTGAGGCCGGCCTCTACCACCGAGTGCAGCGGCACGGCCGTGGCCACGCCCTCCTCGCTGAGCACGACAGCCACGCGGCGTCGGCCGGCCGCGTCCGCTCCGGCGGCCTCCACGGCGGCGGCGGCCGCCGCGGCGCTGGCGTCGCCGGCCACTGTGGGCCGGCCGGGAGATTATGAACGGCCGGTCAACTGACGGCCGCCGGCGACACGCGGTCCACAGAGCCGGGTGGCATGTCAGGAACATAGTCATGAGCGGGCCCAGCGGGCCGCGACGGCCGTCCATCCGACATGTGATGCCCATACCGCGGCAAGGTGCACCGCTAGGCGTGGCCGAGTCGACCCGACACAGCATAGCGGCGTGACGGCCGTCCGTCCTGCAGACGAGCGTGTGCGACGCCAGGGAGCTGCGTACCGTGTTGTCCCGAGTCCAGAGTCCTGCAGACGAGTGTGTGCGACGCCAGGGAGCTGCGTACCGTGTTGTCCCGAGTCCAGAGTCCTGCAGACGAGTGTGTGCGACGCCAGGGAGCTGCGTACCGTGTTGTCCCGAGTCCAGAGTCCTGCAGACGAGTGTGTGCGACGCCAGGGAGCTGCGTACCGTGTTGTCCCGAGTCCAGAGTCCTGCAGACGAGTGTGTGCGACGCCAGGGAGCTGCGTACCGTGTCGTCCCGAGTCCAGAGTCCTGCAGACGAGTGTGTGCGACGCCAGGGAGCTGCGCACCGTGTCGTCCCGAGTCCAGAGTCCTGCAGACGAGTGTGTGCGACGCCAGGGAGCTGCGTACCGTGTCGTCCCGAGTCCAGAGTCCTGCAGACGAGTGTGTGCGACGCCAGGGAGCTGCGCACCGTGTCGTCCCGAGTCCAGAGTCCTGCAGACGAGTGTGTGCGACGCCAGGGAGCTGCGCACCGTGTCGTCCCGAGTCCAGAGTCCTGCAGACGAGTGTGTGCGACGCCAGGGAGCTGCGCACCGTGTCGTCCCGAGTCCAGAGTCCTGCAGACGAGTGTGTGCGACGCCAGGGAGCTGCGTACCGTGTCGTCCCGAGTCCAGAGTCCTGCAGACGAGTGTGTGCGACGCCAGGGAGCTGCGTACCGTGTTGTCCCGAGTCGTGTCCTGCAGACGAGTGTGTGCGACGCCAGGGAGCTGCGTACCGTGTTGTACTGAGTCCAGAGTCCTGCAGACGAGTGTGTGCGACACCAGGGAGCTGCGTACCGTGTTGTCCCGAGTCGTGTCCTGCAGACGAGTGTGTGCGACGCCAGGGAGCTGCGTACCGTGTTGTCCCGAGTCGTGTCCTGCAGACGAGTGTGTGCGACGCCAGGGAGCTGCGTACCGTGTTGTCCCGAGTCCAGAGTCCTGCAGACGAGTGTGTGCGACGCCAGGGAGCTGCGTACCGTGTTGTCCCGAGTCGTGTCCTGCAGACGAGCGTGTGCGACACCAGGGAGCTGCGCACCGTGTTGTACTGAGTCCAGAGTCCTGCAGACGAGTGTGTGCGACACCAGGGAGCTGCGTACCGTGTTGTCCCGAGTTCAGTGTCCTGCAGACGAGTGTGTGCGACACCAGGGAGCTGCGTACCGTGTTGTCCCGAGTTCAGTGTCCTGCAGACGAGTGTGTGCGACACCAGGGAGCTGCGTACCGTGTTCTCCCGAGTCCAGCGGGCCGTCCGGGACGGCGTCCAACACCAGACTTTGGCCGCCACCGCACGCCTCGTGCGAGACCAGGGTGCCGAGCGCCGAGCTCGGTTCCTCCGACTTGCAGACGTCCGGCGGCTTGGAGTCGGTACGGATCAGCACCTGTTTGGGGTTGGAGTCGGTACAGATCAGCACCTGTTTGGGGTTGGAGTCAGTACGAATCAGCACCCATTTGGGGTTGAAGCACACCAGGTCAGAATCGAGGCAGCTCATCTGGACCGCGGTAACTAATGCTGCACGGTAGCTGCCACCAGTCGTCAAATCTGCACCAAACTACAGCTAGATCCGGGACGACGGCTGTCGCTATTGCTCTGCCACCAACACCTGACTGGCCTGACAACCAACATTCCCCAATCCGGATCCAACCCCTCATTCACCTGGCTGCCATCCTGCAGCTGGAACGTGTAGCCGAGGCCGGATATGTACTCGGGCCCACCAGCAGCCACCAGCTGCACCATCGCCTGCTCGTCGTCGGCCATCTGCCGGAGGGCGGTGAAGGTCACAGTCCCTTATACACTGGCTGGACGACCTGCGTCACCAGGCAGTCGGCGGCGAGTACGCCGACCGTCACCTGGTGTCGGCCGACGACGGCGCCTGCTCACATGCCGCATGGGTAACAAGGGTCACGAGTGTAATGATGGACTAAGGTGAAAAGACAAATTGTGATGACATCACATGCATTCACAACATCTCAGAAACCTTCACAACTGTACTTCTAAGGAAACCACAGTTTTTCAGAAACCCAAATTGTTCCGTTTTTTTTGTGCGGCGTTGCGGCACACCAAGATAGTTACACAGTGTATTAAAATGCTTTTGACATGCTCTTAAAGGGAGTGCTCCACACTTTTATGGGGTTTTGAACTGAAATGGCCACCTAGAAGACTGTTCAGTGCAGTACACAGCCTTGCCCTTCTTAATACATAAAACCCTCCAGTTGCCTAGCTACACACTAGTGAAGTTATGCATGCTATTTCAAGGACACTTGAGCATGCAAACACCATACAAACAGCATTCAAATACTTTTATGCCATTGGTTGAGTGGCAGTCATGGCCAGGACATCTATATTTGTGGAGTCATGCAAGTCTGGCATGCATGAGCATGGTTTTCAGAAACAGTGGACTTTGGCTCTCAATCAATGTTATGCACTCAGTGAAAGTTTCAAGCATGACTAAGTTGTTTGCTTATTTTGATTAGAGCCCCTTTGACCAGGAATGATCATTTCAGGGCTATGGAATGAAAGAGAGCGGATAAGGTGGCGGGAGGATGACAGGCATCTGGGAACCTACCCACTCTTGGCTGGCAAATGCAGCCTGCCCCAGATAAGTGGTGTGTCACAGGTATGCAGAATAAAGCAAGGGCAATGATAAAGGGGAATTTAGATACAACTCATGTTTTGAGCAACAGAAGATGGGGAGTTGGGTAGTGGTACTAGTAACAAAACAGACATGTCATGGAATGACTTATGGCCATGCTGACAACACAAGTCTGGCAGCACAGCCAACATTATACATACATTCTGGGATGCCATAAAACAATGACATGCTAAGGAGCATGTCTACCAAACCTTGTTGTCTATAGCAGTCTTTTCCACTTAAAAGTATACTAAATATTACTAGTGAGTTTTTACATCATATTCAATTATTGCTTCAATGCCTTCAAATGTGGAATATTCCCTTTAATAAAGAGTGCACTCACATCCTCAACTCACGGCAGTTTAAGCAAAACAGCATGGTTCAGCTCAAACAAGCAATCTATATTGATATGCACTGGATGTAATTAGGCAATGTGCTCATGTGGCACAAGAGACCAAGATGTATACCAATATGTGTGCTCACTGGAGAGGAGTAAAAGGTTTGATTTTGTAAAGCTTCTTTATTTTTCTAAATAACAGTTTCTTGATTACATAATCTATTTCATGTATTTATGCTTTTTTCCTGTCACTCAGTTTTCTCTTATACTTTAACACAGCAACTATTTATATTGTTGCTCAAATTTACATGGCCGATAACAAACTATGAATACCTATATTTTCAAAGTTTTTTTGAGCTTTTTTCAAAGAATGATAGCTGCATCAGAAAAATTGACACAAATGCCCTATACACCTGTAGCTGGTGCTCTTTGAACCAATGGATGCAGACTCAGAGCTTCATGCATATCAATGGAGGTCCAAAACATGTGACAGGCACAGATGGAATTCAAATTGCACAAAAATACAAAGCAAAGCATCTCATTGGCATGCTTGGATGGTAATATGAATGTAACTATGCCTGAATTTTAAATGCACCGCATGCACTCATTTGCACTCTTGGGTGTACATTTTCCTCATCCAGTTGTGTATCACCAAGCTGGATGGCACCACTTCCATTCTGTCGCCTTAGCATCATCGCTTGTTGGCAATGCTGTAAGCATGGAGTCCTAGTGATGATTGACAATATATATTATCATGATGTAGACTTTATGACGCGTCGACTTTAATGTTCATATGGCGCCCATAAGAGCCCCGATGGGGACCACAGCCTTTGACAAAATAAGGTCGACATCTGACAGGCATACTCTTACAAATTGTCACTCATTCAGTCTGGAGTTGCCTTCATACCTTCCCTCGTTCGGATTTCGATACTATCCTGAAATACACCTTGTGCGCACCCCCATCTGCCCACCATGCACTCAACCACCTAATCGCTTGTCTAAAAGCCGCAAAAATCGGATGGCCTTGGAAGGGGCTCCTCAGTCAGCTGGCTTAGTAGGAATCATGTCTAATAGACAAGCTTACAGTGTGGTAATTTTTGCGTGCTAAATAGTGCTCTATTTGTGCTAAATTACTTACATTGTGCTATTTTACGAATATGTGTGCTAGTTATTGGTACTTTGCCCTATCTAAAAGTTCTGGCTATTTCACCCCCAAATCCGGATTTTAAACTGCTTTTGTGCTATGATTAGCTCAATTCGTGCCATATGGTGCCAACCTTCGGCTAATTATTTGGTACCTTTCCTTGTATTCTACGCTATGATCGTGCAAATTCGTGTACGCTTGCGAATGAAACAACACGATTATCCTGAACACTATGAACTGGCGAAACTGAAGCGTAATAAGCCGAATGCGAGCTGGACTTTTTGGTGGAGGGGTGATTGCTGCACAAGGGTGATGACGTTATTATTCATTTTGGCGTTAGGCTTTTGCTCAAACGCATTCAAACTTGAAATGTTAATTGATAAGATACTTTTAGCTATTGACTGGTTCCTACTGCCTATCAAGGTACTCAGCACTTTTGATAACATACTTTTAGCTATTGATTGGTTCCTACTGCCTATCAAGGTACTCAGTCAGCACTTACTACCTGCAAAGAATGTTGTGGACGTATCTCAGTCAGGTTTGGAAGCTGCTCATCGCCCCTCACTGAGGGCTGCGGTCGTTGCGTGTATTACATTAACCTAGGCATATATATGTTGGCATGCCACGTAAAGCTTTTAAAAAGGGGTTGCACTTTTAATTTTTACTTCCGCGATCTTGCACAGAGACTTCGCCGTGCGTTATAATGGCTCTGTCAGAGCGGGGTCTATGTTTTTTGTCTTTACTGAGATGGCGGCTGGTTTTAAGTGTCAGCAAGCGGACCACCCCTTCGGGTGTCCTATCCAGTCCTGTAAATCTATGCTTATATCCCTAGATAATATCATAGAAGTCGGGTCAGTTGTGTTTTTTTCCATCAGAACGCTTACAAATTTGTATGATTATACCAGATCACAAAGAAATGCACCAAATTTAGTACAGATGTACCTCATGTAGACCAAGTAAGTTACTTTCAACACAAAAGCAGGTAAAAAAACAGTCAGAATCGGCGGTAAACTAGGTTCAAGTTTCAGGAAGCATAAAAGTACCTCAAACTAGCTCATATATCCTGAAGGTGGCACAAAATGAGTAACTTCGGGCAATGTTGCCTTATTTGGCACGCAAGCAATAATTCTCCACTTGTATAAAATTTGGGATTGGCAATATACGCTGCCGCTACGGTACGATCATACCAAAGCTGGTACGCTCTCGACAAATCTGGTATGCAGATACGGAACGTCCAAAATCTGGTACATTCTAAGACTTGCTGGGTAGATCCAGTACTTGTGCGTTCATCAAAGACTTCGACGTTTGCCACGTGACTAGCAGTCGGCGATACTCCTAAGGTAATGGTTGATTAGAAAATTGAATCTTAACTGTGAGAAAAATCTGGTGCGCAAAGCCATGGAAGATGGTAGAACTCCGCTCTGGGCATTAATGACGTAGCGGAATACCCCGAATGAAAGGAGGACTGTTTCGCCGGCACAGAAACTGTTAAATCGTGTAGGCCGCACGTCCTTACCGACACTCTGATCCGCCCTCCTTCCGCACTACCCTTCTGCAGAACCCGAGATACTCGCGTGCCAGAAAACCGGTCAAGCTTCCTATTATAATCGAAAGGCCAGACCGCTGCCGCCCCTGGTCCTAGGCCAATCTTTCAGGATGCGCCTCTCTGGGCAGTGGACATGGTCACCTGGAGTGTACGTGCAAATGGCAGGGCCGCTCTCGCTCTGGGGCCGAGCCGATGGCGTGGTGTACCACCGTAACCGTCGTCAACTGCCGGCTACCAGTGACCCGCCTCCGTCCACTGGGTGTGGAGCCACTCGATCCGCCTGTTCGACCGATGTCTGAGAAGATCACCCCGGCACAGTGTGGCGTTAGTCTGGCGGTGATACCCCCACGGTCACCGCAGGGTGCCCTGAGGACCACGCCTAATAACTGATGTCGGCTCAGATCCCAGGTCCGATATCACCCTCGGTGTCTCAGCAAAGTGCCTCTGAGCCAGCCCCTCAGGCGATTTTCGCACTTCCCTTCGCAGAGCAGGGCGGACTTTTCGGCCCTTAACATACCTGACCGATTATGTGCCAGATGGGTGTGACGTCATTTAAGCGGGAGGGATGGTGAAGTCGTCAGTGCTCTAAATGTCAGGATTTTGTTTCGTTACTTAGAAGTCAGTGTTGTAACTACGTGTAAAAGTCTTTGAGACCGCCGAAATATAAGGATGTACAAGGAGATGTGCCGTACGCGGAGCGTAACATTTTGTGTATTCATGTATCCCTATCGGTAGTAGATTTATTTTTCCTGCTTGGGAGCCACAGCAATAATCTGTACTCTGCAGTCAGTATCCTAAGCGTCAGCATTCAATTACTGCGAAGCAGGAAATGTGCCGCATGTCGCGGGTATCTGTCTGTGTATTTTTGTCCGTCGGTGGTTTTCATCTTTTCCTTAACACGCACCCGGGTGGCAGCCTAGATACCCTTCGGTCGGGTGGGGGTGGGTCAGGGGGACCCCCCTGAGATCTCGGAAACTAAGAAAGATAGGGACACAAAATTTACAGGGTGTGTTGACCTGTACGTGAACTCACTCAGATCAAAGTTTCAGGCTCCTAGATCATGACCTTCGGGTCAAAAAAGGTCAAACAAGGTCAAGTTTCAGGTTGGTCTTTAAAGTGCCCCAAGAACCTAGATGACCGTTTCTAAGCAAAAGGTCACATTATCATTCAAGGCCAGTGACCTTGGTTGACCTTTTGAAGGTCGTGGTGACCAAAATCATACAAGATTGTTTTTTGAGTTTGCATTTGACTAAGCGACAAAGATTACGCTAGGCGGTATGTTCCTAAAACAAATTGTTGAGCTGGGTCATGTTAGGTCAAAAACCTATTCTGACCTCTAAGAAGTCCATGGAAGATTTATAATGCAGTTCCTGCTATTAATAAACTCGAAATGAGCACCAGAAACTATCCCATACAGCAAGCCCTAGATTCACAAAACAGGTTGGTTTTGACCTTGCTGTGACCTTTATACCTGACCTTAGGTCAATGCAATTTGCTCATTAGACTGTTGTGTTGCCTAAGAAAGTATCTCAGAGATGCATGGCTTCGTCTAACACTCCGTTATTGGAAGGATTCCCTAGAAATTGCCTTCGCTGAAACCATGGCCTGATTTGACTTTCCATAGGTCAGCGACCTTACAAGGTACATCTAAATTGTTTATGTCAAACGATCCGCTATTCAGTTGTCTACAGCTATGCAAAATTTGGCGCGGCCACGCCGCGCCATTCGGAAACCATTCTGGAAAAAACCTTCGGGGGGGGGGCAATTTGACCCCCCACCCGAGCGCGTGTTAAATGTGGTGAGAAGACTTGTCGAGCGCGCTTGGCGTGGCTTGCGCACCTGGCGACAGCTCGTCAGTTATGACGTAACGAGTCATCGCGGTGACTACGGCCGGCCAGGTGGCAGCGACAAAAGTATAACGATACGGACCACCGGTGGGCCCCTCATAGCCGGCCTCATCGCGGAACACAGCCTTTTGATGGCTCTGACTGATCACCGCGTTACCCTCACGAAAGCGTCTGCCCAGACTCCGGGATAGCGGAAAAGATTAACTCGGCCAGAGGAAAGACAACCGTGGTATTTTAAGACACTACTAATGTGGAGGTGCTGGCGAGAGTGTCGACTCTGATGAGGCAAAACTGCTTCTCTCGTGATCGATGAGACGGCGCACCGCTCCACCAGCAAGGCACTGGCAGTTGTGGCGCGTGTTAATGACAGCCTAGTGAAGAAGACCAAAGACCTGCTCGTCGGTTGCCACACGTGCCACTGAGTGTATCGTGGCACGTGGGGCAACAGAAAAGGCGTATAAGCCCTTTCGGACGAATGGGAAGAATCCGTGGTGGAGAATCTGATCGATCACAAGTCCAGGCAAGGAAGCGGATAGTGTCCAACCAGCAGCGTTGGGCCCCACGAGAAAAAACAAAGGTCAAGGGCAACGTGGAAGGCTCCTTAGCGATCAGATTGACCCGGCAATTGGACATATAGGGCCCGGGGAAGCAGCGTTTTTGCCCCTGGACAGCCCCCAAGTCCCCCCCCCCCGCGCCTAACAACAACTTCTCAACCTTGTTTGTGTATAACAAACTATATAATATGGTTTTGAGCATGCGCGCCTGCAAGTCACAGCAACAACAACCTCGACGCCCCGGCGTTGCAGCTTCCATGGGCCGCGGTCGGCCTTGCGGCTGTGACGCTAGATGATGGCCAATGAGCAACCGAAAAAAGATGATACATCTTGAGTAAGGTGGCTGGTGAAGTAGGCAAACCGGCATGTAGGTTTAATGTAGTGCAAAAGTAAGCTAACTACAGCCTTAATCTGAAAAGTGGGAGGTGGTCAGTTAACAATGCTGGCCCCCTCACACCGAAAGGGGGGGGGAGGCATGGTCCCCCTGGCCCCTGTTCCTACATCCATGCTCCATTCAAATAAGAAATGCTCGAGACACATTGTTGTGGGCCCCGAACGATCGAGTGTGTCCGAACAGTTTAACATAGAGGGCCCTCGTCAAGTGCGTAGGATCCTCCTTTCAAGTAGGAAGTACCCAAGACCCAACGTAGAAGGCCCCTGAACGATCAAATGTCCCCAAGAAGGCTAACAGATAGGCCCCCGACAGGAGCACAGGGCTCCCCATCCATATAAAAAATACCCAAGGCCCAGCGTGGAGGGCCCCCAAAAGATCGAGTGTACCCGAGCAGGCCATCAGATGGCCCCCGACAAGGGCGGTAGGGTCCTACATTAAAATACCCAATGCACGTACAGGGCCCCCAAACAATCCAGTGTGCCCGAGCAGGTTAACAGGTTGTACCCCGACAAGTGTGCAGGGCATTCCATTGAAATAGAGAGTATCCAAGACCTAAGTGTTCCCAAGCAGGTTAACAGATCCCCTGACAAGGACCTAGGGCCCTAAGCAAGTGACAGAGAATTGAAAGCGCTCTAGACCAATTTGGAGGGCCCGTGAGCATATGGAGAGTCTGTCGGTAGATTAACCGAGACCAACGCGGGGGGCCCCTGAGCAACCGAAAATACCCCGGTGGGTTAACATATTTGGTCCGGGCTATAGCCCACAGAGCTTTTCTGGTAAATGGAAAGAATCCATGGACAGACCCTGGTTGACAAGAGCGCACCGGCACGCTAGTAAAAAGGGCCCAGCAACAGTGCAGGTCCCTCCGAGCAAATGCAAAGACATTGAGGGCAACGTGGACGGCTCCTGAACGATCGCAATGACTCTGCAAGTGGGTGTATGAGGTCCCTCGGAAACAGCAAAGAGCCCCATGGACAGCGTGATGAGGCTTAAAATTCCCAATTTTAAGCTTTTTTATCATGGAAGAAGGCAGGCTTTGGGCCCATTCAGAGCCTTTTGGTCCTTTTGCGGCCCTGGATCCGACCCCCTCCGGATCCGCCACTGCTCCTCACACCATAAATACGCTTTGCGCTTTTGACGATATTTAGAAAAGAAAAGAAAAACTTTGCATTAGAAACGTCTATCGTGCCTGATTCCTGAAACGTCATTCGAGCAGCTGATAATTAAAACACTTAAGATTAAGTCCCGCACGCGGCCAACAAGTCCCATGGTGCGCTGACTCGCAAACCTGGTACATTTTAGACACCTTTCGGGTACGCTGGTTTGCAAACCAGGTTATTTTGCAGATCTGTCTGGTACGCTCACCAAGGCGAAAACGGCAACGCTGTTGGCGATGCGAATGCGTGCGTGGGTGCCCAGGACCAACGCGGTGCAATCACGGTCGTAATATATTTATGATAGGTCCTACGCACTTTGTGGGACCCCAGATGGCAGGGTTGATTGGACTCTGAGGTAGGTGTCTATACATAGCTCATAGTTTTTTGGGTATATGAGTATGGTATACAGTGTTATCAGTTTTACCACTGTGATGCGTGGACCGCTCACGGTGATGATTCTTCTCAAAAATGTGAACTAACTGAATTCCCAGATGTGTAGGCGCCCAGCCTAGTAGATGGATATTTATGCTGACTGTGTGGTGGCCACCATCTCATTTGTATGTCAACAGCTGTGCTATGTCAAAAAAACATCGACAGCAGAATGGGCGCTGCATTACCTGCAGCAGTCGATGCGCCCTAAAACCCCAAATCATCATCATCGACAGCAGTGCTATGGAATGAGTCATGTACACATACTGAAGTAACACACAATATTTCTTCCACTGCAAAGACTTAAATGCAACATGAGTGCTATGCAACAGACTATGCTTCTAAAAGTTAAACATTATTTTTTCCATGGCAGCTTGGCTATAAGCCTGTGCTATAGCACTAGTGTTGTGTCTAAATCTTTAGTAGAAGCTGTGCAGAAGGGGCAGGTATTAAACTTTTCAGGAGAGGTAATTACAGATAAGATTTTGTCAGAAAAGTTTTGTCACATTGCACTTACATCTCATGGATGTGTTTGCATTAGAAGTAAAGTTGTGTGTGTAAGTCATGACTCCATGTCTTTGCAGTAGAAATAGTGACAAGCATGAATATTTAAATTGTGAGGTTTGTTGACTAGCACTAACATTGCATATATGTTTTTGCGGTAGAACAGGGGTGGTGGTTAAGTAATGACTATAAGTATTTGTTATGGAAGCAATGAGAAAGTGAGTTTTTGCAGTGTACCTTTTGTTGCATAGCACTAATGTTGATGAGCATTTGTAGTAGAAGTAATGTCATAGCACTCCTGTAAGCAGGAGACTTTATATTAGCACTAATGAGCTATTGCTGTAGAACCCCATCAAGTAGCACTTCAGCATTAGCTGGTGTAACATCATGGAAGGCAAATTCTAGCCAGTTGCTCATGAAATATACATTTTGGTCTGCCCTATGCAGGGGCTGGAGCTATTTATATATTGAGGAAGGAACTTGAGCTCCAGTGATTCCTAGCTGCAGCTTATCACAAAAGGCAAGCAACAATAAAGGCAATATTAATAGTCAGGTAACTACCATGCCATATGGATTTTTCTGATAGAAACTGTCACGAGTTTTGCAAGAAAGATGGTATGATTAGACTACCTCCGAGGCCTTGCTTATTGCTAAGAGTGTAACTTCACTGGTTAAATAGGGCCATTCCAGTCCAGCTTATAAATCTATATAAAACTTTTCAATGTGCCATGTATTAATGAAAAAAGATCAGTCATGGCATGGCCACTTTGTTTCAGTCACCAAGCCTTTAAGATAATTGACAAGTTCATCAGTGCTGCTCCATCAGCCCCCTTGTACCACACTTATAACTTGCCTCCCTAATTGAAACCTTATGCCAATACTATTGAATGTTATAAAAGTACCTTAAACACCTAGTGAGAGCATTTGGTGATATTCTTAGAGTCTCTCACATTTAGCATGAACAATCATATATTTCTAAGAGCTCTTGACAACACATGAATAAGAACATTAATGTTAGTTATTGACAACCATATGTGACAATGTCAATATTGCAAATAGCCATGAAGGAGATGTACATGCATCATCACACCTGTCACTACACTTATTGCATATTTTCACTGTTTCCTTTGAGGCTGATCAAGTGCTCAATAATCAATACAAGTCACCAATTTGCAATTATGGAGTGAGATTAGTAGATATGCCAGATGTTTGATGACAGTAGATGGTAAATCTAAATGAGCATGTTCCAAACTTCTGCTAATTCCTAGATAGTAAGACACCAATCAGAATTATGAACCATGAAGGCAGCATGAGAGAATTCAAGCCAGTTTAACTTGTTACCCAAGAGCCACTTACAATGGTAAACATACCTTCAGCTTCTTTTTTATCTATCCATATATCCTGAAAACATGAAATAGCTCATGAACAGTCAGCAGTGCCCAATGCATGCTGAACAGTTAGTAGCATTGCAGTGTAAGTGGCCTCTCATTTTTTACTTTGATGATTTTGTGAATTCTTCCTGTCAACATGATGTGGGGTAGGCAATCAAAATTTGCTTGTGGGTGTTGCAAACTCAACTTGTGAGAATTTATGGGCTGAAAATAATGTTCTGATATGAAAAGGCAGCTCTTAAACTCAAAATGTGGGGTCAGTCAATGCATGCGTAAAGAGGTGTGAAAGCTAGCTATCTGTATGAGGTGCTTCATCACCAATATCATGCCCCTGACAATAGGAGAGTAGCACAGTTCATTGTGTGCCCATTGGGTGCACTCCTTTTATCCTGGCAATGGGTATTGTTATTGGGGATTCATTATGCACTATTGATAATTTGAGACTTGGCTGTTGAGGTGAAGCAAAAATAAAGCATGTTAACATGCATAGGTTATGGGCGCCATATGACCAACGTAGTTGGTGCGCCCCAAAGCCCAAATCATCATCATCATCATGTTAACATGCATGTAGCCATTTAGCCTCATGGTCTCAGTACCAATAGCGATAGCCTGAATCTGCCAACCAGCTGCAACACAGCACCAAAGTATGTGTCTGGGTGTCATTGGGGCTTTACAACACCCTCAGCTGCTGAGGCATTGGGACATCACCTGCCTCTCACCCTGGCAGAAAGGGCAGGCACCACTGGGAACCAAACCCTGTACCTCTGGTTTCCCAGATGGGCGATAGCTTCTGCAGACATGCTAACCACTACACTATCTGCACAGCAGCACTTAAGTAACAGACATGGCCTCCTGCAGAAGTTTTCATTGAAAATATGCATGACTACTTGTATTCAGTGAATAATGAGAATAACTGGTGGTGGCCTGGGGTCAGCTCCTTGGTCTGTTTCTGCTCTGCTTCCTTTGAACTTTGTCTGCTTATGGTTCTTGGTTATAGATATTTGTGATTGCCTATTTTTAGGGGTACATCAGCTTTTTGATACTTTTATTTTTCAGTGCAACCCATAAAAATCCACTTTGACAAGCCAAACCACCTGCACCAACCCATATAAGCAAATCCCAGAACCACCTCAGCCCACAACTTTACAGTGTCTTCACTGCACAACCTGGGCCATGCCAAAAGCAGGAATTCTTCTAGAACCGTGTCTGCTGCGGCGGCACATCTGCCGTCTGTAGCGGCGTCGCCTCCGCCATCTGCCATCTTTTGATGTAGTAGGTCTGCAGCAGTTTGCAATCCGCCATTTCGTATGGTCCTTCGAACTTTAGTTGAAGCTTGCCCTTCACGCCCCTCTGCTCGGAAGCTTGGACACCAGACGGTGTCTGTCTCTTGAAATTATCCTGCTGCCTCATCCGTCACCCAGCTTTGCTCCAGATAAATCCTGCCGGTCAACAGGTGCTGAATCGTGGTGAGCCGGCGCCACAGGGCCTTTAGATGACGCTGTTCAGAGCATCACGGCAGCCTCACTCTGTCAAAGCTCATGCTCCCAGCTCATGTGCTTTAAGAAGTTTGCCATGATGTGCTGAAAACAGCCAGGGCTGGTTTCCAACCCAAATGGCTTTCTTGTCCACTAGTGAATATCAAAGGCGGTAGTGAAGGCTGTGACTTCACGAGGCTCCTCTTCTGCTGGGATGGCCCAGTAGGCAGCACACCGGCCCAAGACAGTGAAGATGCTCAATGAAGATGATCGAAGATGCTTTCTGTCATCTCGAGCAAGCCCTTCATCCTTGGCAGGGGTTACAATTCGTGCTTGATGACTTGGTTGAGTGCTCGGCAGTCACGGCACAGCCTCGGGCTCCCGTTCGTCTTTCTTGCCAGTACCAGTAATGGTGCCTGTGGCGAGGACGATGGTTCGATCAGGCTTTGCTCTTCCAGTTGATGCAGCTGCCCCTTTAACTGATGTCGTAGATGCAAAGGAGTATGATAGAACGTCCGCTTGATAGTCTTGCTCCGTCCGTGTTGGTCGCCAGCTGGTGAGATCCTGTGTAGACTCCAACATCGCTAGGTCCTTGAAAAACACCCCTTGGAGCTCCTTCGGAACCTGCGGGAACCGCTCTCTAGTCTAATTAGGCTGATGAGAATCGTCTGGTAGGGTGGCCCCGACATCAACACAGCAGAGGCCTTGTCGCATGATGCGGAAGACTGAGCAGGCTCTTCTCTTCCCAGAACAGTCCTAGCTGTGATCACGAGTTCTTTATGACCGGCTCGGTGAGCTACACTGTTCCGCACAGCCCGATGCGCCAGTTGAACTGCTGATGCCATTGTTACTACTTCAGTTTCTTCAGGACTGAAGACGACTGCCTTCTCTTCAGACGCTCGCTGGACACTGATGAACATCTCGGATCTGGGAGCACATGGCATTAGGCTTCTCGGCGCCACCAGCTGTTGATTTGGAGGCCTGCTTCCCCTGATCACCAGCTCCGTTGAACTGCTCTCAATCGCCGCCCCCCCCCCCCCCCCACTCCCTGCAGAATATCCGTGACTAGAAGGATGGAGTCGGTTAGGTCACGAGCAACAACGAAGTTATGCAACGAAGCCACTGCACCAGCTTCCAGATGAACCTGCACTCCTCCCATCGCTGATCGTTGATGCGTTTTGCTACACTGAAACGATCATCTATGGGTGTAAAATCCAGGCGCAGCTCGCTTGCCAACTCGTCACTTAGGATGCTTGAAGTACTTCTTTGAAGATCTGCTTGTGCATCTGCTCTTTCTATCCTGAGCACAGCACGCACTTTCCCTCGACCCACCCCACCGACCTCTGAGTTTGCGGGGGTCGGGAGTGGTGCTGACGTTTAATGTGACCCCTGCCTCCACACGGGGAGCACTCAATGCCTTTGCGCCCCAACGTCTTAACGTCTCTTGATGCCTCGACGCCTCGAACTAGAGCTGGAGCACCTGTCCTGCCTCGCTGTAGTCGTTCCGTCGTCTTGGTCCTTTCTGAACGCCCAATCAGACTCCGCCATTACAGCACCGCAATTCAGGACCTGTAGTCGCCACTAAGATGGCACAGCTCGCGAGATTCGCTCCAACGCCAGCTGATCGGGCCTTCAGAGCTCAGGTCAGGCATCGAGCCCTCACCAGCGCGTGTAGCTTGCAGACAAACGTGTGCTGATCATCTGCTTGGGTCGTCTTCAGCTCGTAAAACTGATGCAAAACAGCACGCCTCTTCTCAGCCGGTAGTAACTTTTCTCGGACCCGGGCTGCCACCAGCTCAACGCTTGACAGTGACTGGTCCCCTCGATTTCACGGGCCTGCCTCTCGTGGGTCTTGCTTAAGAGTGCAGGTGGAATCCTTGTTGCATCCGACCCCTCCGACCATGCGTGCGCTATTGCCAGCCGCACGGGGTCCCTTAAAAAGGTGTCCGAGTATCCGCCTTCCACATAGGCACGCGGCTTGAAAACGCTGCCGGGTCCCGCATCCTCCATCACACCTCGACAGATTTTATCTTGAGTTCGACTCAGACTATCTTGAATGCGACTTTATCGAAAACAACGAAAATTTAATTCATATAGTCGAGGAAACGTACAAGAAGCTGCTATGTAGATATATGTATATATATATATATATATATATATATATATATATATATATATGCGTGCGTGTATGACGCAGCAACGTATTGACGACAGCAGTCCCTATCATTGATCTGATTAGCAAAATTTAAATCCACTGTTTATCATCAGAACAAGGGACAAAGGTACAATGCAATAGGATTTCAGTTATTGGTCATAGCTAGAGATGGCAACGATCACAGTTCACACCATTAGACATGAAGGGTCTTGGTTATAAAGAATGCTGTATGTACCCTTAACAACAATGGACCCTTCGCCTATCCGAGACCATTCACTTGCGTGTGACACTCACTTCACGTAAAAAAAGCTTCCGTATCAAGGCGTTGCAGCAATTCTGTAGATTTTGGAATTTTGAAATCACTTCGTTTTCAACAATAAAAGCTGACGTTGAATGCCATGGGGTCTGCATATCGTGGTCGGAATATAATGGTCTGGTCATCGACGTAATTATGGCATGGAGTCCATGACAGGAGTCCAAGGTAGCTTGTTCGTTATACGGAGTCTAAAACGTCTTTTGTCGCGTGATTTGTTTTTGTTTTTTTTTGTGTTTCTTTCAAGCTGCCCTATTTGCACGAAGAGGGGTCTCGTGTAATTCTGGTCAAGCCCCAGTGACCACAGGTAAAGACGTCCGGTCAGTCTGCTGTTAGGGCTGATGACGTCATAAGTGTACTCGGCCGTGATGGTGGATGACGGATGTATGCATACTGTATGTCGCTAAACTCTTTGAAACAACGTAAGAGCGCAAGCTCCCTGATACTTCGGTTGGAATATAACAGGACTATTTGTTGTTGGACAAGACCATAATACTAACCCGAAGCTTATTCAGTGATTGATTAGCGTCCCAGCCGAGCTTCTTTGGCTGGGAGGCTTAGGGACAAACATCGTAGAAAGGTTTCTCGAAAAGCAAGGGTCCAATAAACTAACCTACGTTTCGTCCCCGTAGAAAGTATGCACTCTGACTAAATGATGACGCTTTGTAACTGGCATGCTGATGCCATGGTGAGTGAGGTCAGTGACATATCCTAGGTCGCATGACAATTTGACTTGGTTATGCGATAAATGCTTCAAAACATTTATATACGTCTATCTCCCCTGTGCTATTCATCGTGAATGCTAATGTAAAATTTTTAGACATCTATGACGAAAAATGCGGGTCTAAAGGGGGGACGCCCCCCCCCCTTCCGGGTTTGCCCCCGCCATGCTGCCTCCCATGGCTGGAGAGCATGCGTGGATCGGGGTTCCGGGCCCTCGGGCCCCGGAAAACCAGGAAATTTGGGGGGTTCGGGAATCCAAGGGCTCTGTGGGAGGGCCCTTTGCGCCGAGCGGGGGCTCTTGAGTCGGTAAGGGCCTATACGTTGGTCAGACATCACCGCTACCTTACAGTCGGCTCCGTATTGATATTGGTCTGAGGGCCCATTTTCCAAGCAGGGACAGAGTCGGTGCCAGCAATTTACATTGGTCAGGGACCCACCGTCTGTCAGGCGCACATATTGTGCTTAACAGGGACCTTGTGTTGGCAAGGTACCCCGAGTCGACCGTAGGCAGTGTTCGAGAAGCGCGAAGAGTTTCTGGGGGCTCACCGGGACCGGTGATCGAGGGCCAGATTGAAGGGCCCAAAGGCACGATGTGCTGGCCGGAGTCTTATTCAGAGACCCGGCCCGCGAGATGGGTCTTGAAATGACTCAGGAGGCCCTTTGCGCCGATTGGTGACCCCTGAGTGTCTATAAGGTCGTATATGTCGGGTCAGGCACGACCAGTGTCGTACAGTCGGCTCCGTGCCGGCATGAGTCTGAGGGCTCACTTCCCTAGCGGTGACAGAGCCGGGGCCAGCCATTTACGTTGGTGCGCGAAGATTGGAAGACAATGTCGGGGAGAGTATTTGAAGGTCACCTTGGCATCAGTGAGGTCATAATGTTTGTGTGTTACAATGTCAACAAATGTCACAATTATTCAAATTCTGCCATTCCATAAGTCATGCGACGATCGGGGCCAATAAAAATAAAATGGTCTAGTCATTCATATCGGGCGTTAGTGAGCACGATTTCCAGATATTTTGAATCATCGTTTTGTGAGGCATGATGACGTAATCAAACAATGACATATCGAGGAGCATATTTATTAAACAGAAATTGTGTTGTCTTGAGCAGCATTGTACTTAAATTTCTATCAATAGTTATAAGTGGGTTTGTTTAGTCATGTAGGATGTTTGCGTCGATATCTTTGATTGTGGAACATTCCATTTAATGCTGCAATACCGGCCCGCCCGCGCACGTCCCGCGACATCACCGGTTGCCGCCCGCCGACCGTAGATCGCCGTGCCGTGATCCTCAATAACCGCTACTGCGCGGACACCAAGAAAGCGAGGAGCACGTTTTTGAAAACACGCATAATGGGTGCCCCATAGGTTACTGAAAATTCGGATGCGATTGCACAACATGCTGGCGAGGTAACCCCAAAAGACTTGAGGGGTGCATCAACCCCCCCCCCCCCCTCCGTGTCTGGGCGAGGGGTAAAAGGAGTGTTCCGTATTTTTAGGGTGTTTTTAATTGAAAAAGTCACCCTGAAGACCTTTTGGTACATATCGCAGCTCTATCCTTCTTAAGACATAAACCCCTTTAGTTTCTGGGCTATACGCCCAGAAATGGGGGAGATTATTTCAGGTCACCTCGTCATTCATGACGTCATGATAACGCCATTCAGATCCTGCCGATTAGTAACCCATGCGGCGATCAGGGTCGAGAAAAGACAATGTTCGAGTGGTTCATATCTGACGCTTGTGAGCATGATTTCCAGATATCCCGGCCCTCAATTGTCTGTCAGTGTTGTGCAAGGTGCGTAATCGAACAATAACATGTCGAGGAGCGTACTTATTAAACAGAGAAGTTGTGTTCTCTAGAGCAGTCTTTTCTGCCAAAAAGTATACTTACAATTATAAGCGAGCTTGTTTCATCACGACGGTATATCCAAGATCTTCAAATGTGAACCATTCTCTATAAGAAAATTGTGGTTGCTCACTGTAGCATGATCATAAATGTCGTCATATGTTTTGCAACTCCGTTCTTAAATATACCTGTATGTGGCGTGCAAATGCGATTTTTCTTCGCTCTTCACTCGCAGCAGAGTGTCACGCAATATCTCGATTTCTCACCTGTCGTTAGGTTTTTCTGGTTTTCCGCAATTGGTAGCGCGTCCGCGCCTGCTAAACAAAATGCGCTGCACTTGCACTTGTGGGCGATTTTGTATTGTTGCTCTTGAATATCTCGTAAAATGCATAGTTTTCTCTCAGATTGTATCGATAATTAAATTCGAGATTTCCAATCGAACGGTGTGCAATTCATGCCAATGAAACGGCATGTACAGAAGTTAGACGTACGCCACAACTGCCTAAGCTTGAGGTAGTTCTTAATAGCATATCGCTTGTTTGATTGACTTAAAACTTTCCTCGATTGATACCGGCATGCAGAGAATTCTACTTGCATCATTTTTGTCCAATTATATGGAATGGTGTGAAAGTTAGACTTTGGCCGCTATCGTGGCCACGACCATGCCCGCGGCCGATCAGTTCCTTTTGAGGTTCTCCGTGAATATCTCTACAATGTGCGCATGCTTTTGCCTTCACGTTTTTTCTCGATTGACAAAACTGCTCTTTCCTACTGAATGATGCCCACTCGGTTGTCACCAGACGTTTCATAGAGAGGTTATAGTTGGGCCGCAACTGCGGCCACAACCGTGGCCACATGTTTGGGAGACCCCAAAAGCAAACAACGTGCATCGACGTGAGTCAAGGTTGCGGAAATTGTTTGATCTCTTCGGCTTCACGTGAATGGTACTTTACGCAGCGCTGACAGGGGCCTGGATTGTGCTACCTGTGACTTACGTGTCTACCTATGTCGGTTAAATGTACGCATATTTGATTGTACGTTTGTGCCCTTGTCCTGATGATGTTGCACAAGGTATCGAAACGTGACCAACTGCGTAAATGATAGCGACGTCTGTCCTTGCTGTCAGGTTTTTACTGCTTCTTGCTATTCATGGATGTTCCATTATGATATATATATATATATATATATATATATATATATATATACACTTATATAAGTTGTGCATGCATTATGCGTATATCACGTATAAGCATGCATACATATCCATATGTTACGCACGTCTTCCAGTAGAAGAGGTACGTCAATTTCTAACTGGAATAGTTTGGTTTTTATTTCACGACGCATCGAAGTGCAGTTTACCCACATCATATGTCTGCGCGCTTTCCGGATTTGGCGTAAGACATGGCTTTCTTTCAGACATACAAGAAACGGGATCTAGATCGCAAGATACCAGCAGTATGGCAGCGTTTGGCTGGGCGAAGCCAAAACATTTCACTATCGAGGATGCCTTTGAAGAGGAGCCAGAGGACGCCATCCGACTGTATGGCTCCACCATGGAGACGAAGCCGCTGAACTCGAGCGAGAAGTACCGGGTCCGCTCGCCGCAGCCGGCGCGCGGCTCGACGGTTGGTGGCCACCTGGCCAGCGCCAACCCGTCGGCTGCCCTGCTGGACCCTGCCGTGCACTTCTGTCCAGGCGGACCCAAGGGCCACGATCGGTCGTTCGATGATGTGAGTATGGTCGGGGTGCGCCAGTCACTCACCCGCGGTGCGGTAGTGTGGCTCTGGGCTGGTGCCAGGGACTTGCAGACTGGCTGTGTGCGTGCGTGCGTGCGGTAATTTGTTATTTAGCATTTTCTTTGTCATTTTTAACGGACATTTTGGGGGAACAAGTTTGCTCAGGTGGTGAGCGAAACATCATATGTCCAAAATTGTGCGAACAGCGACCAAATTCTGGCGAAATCGCCCAGTACCTGGCGTAAATCTCTTGGGTCAGCCCCACCCCTCCCCATTGGCCCTCCCCATGGCGGCATACCTGTATGTACTGGCTGATATGAATACCGCTACGTGTACTTGGTCCTGACCACTTGGATTAGAATGGGATTTATTTGTTATGTAGTTGAGTATTTTTGACTCAATCGAATTATAAATAGCAGTGCACCGATGTATAGATTGATTGCTTTGAACTGTTGAATGGCATTGGTAGTTTGAATAATGAAATGGAAATGGCTGTTAAATGACCTTTCTTTATTTTCACAAATGTTGCTAGGGGTAAGTAACATAGTTCATTGTAGTGCGTGTTGGCTGCAGGTTTGTCAGCTGTGGTGGATCAGAATTAATACGCAAGGTGTCGTAATACGTTGCAATGTGTGATACGCCTTTCATGCTGATTACCTCGACCACTGATGGCAAAGTAGGTGGTGGTCGTGAGTGGGCTTCTGGACCCTTACGTCACTAGGCGGCCCGTCAGTGCCCCGCTGGCCGTCATCAACGGACTGATGCTCCGCGGAGTGGGGACGGTGGGCTGCCGGTCTGACGGGCCATCGGACTGACGGGCTGCCGGACTGACGGACTGACGGACTGACTAGCTGACGGACTGACTGGCTGACGGGCTGACTAGCTGACGGACTGGCTGGCTGACGGAATGACGGGCTGACGGGCTGCGGCTGACTGGCTGACGCACGGACGGGCTGACGGGCTGACGGATTGCTGGACTGACAGGCTTACTGGCTGCCAGACTGATGGACTGCCGGGCTGATTGGCTGATTGGCTGATGGACAGGCTGGCTGACAGACTGACGGACTGACGGACTGACGGGCCGACGGGCTGACGGGCTGACGGATTGCTGAGCTGACGGGCTGACTGGCTGCCGGGCTGACGGGCTGACTAGCTGTCGGACTGTGGGTCTGCGAGTCTGCCGGATGAACGGACTGCCGTTCTGCCGAGCTGCCGGATTGACGGACAGCCGGCCTGCCGGGCTGACGGGCTGACGGCCTGACGGACTGCTGGGCTGCCGGACTGCCGGACTGCTGGACTGCCGGCCTGACGGACTGCCAAGCTGCCGGACTGACGAACTGTGGCCGCCCTTTCAGAGCGTCTCTCACGACAGCGAGTCACTGATCGGGCAGGGCTCGGTGGACGGCCTGCCGCCGTCCCAGGCGGACGTGTGGTGGTCGCACCCCAAGGTGCAGGACAACAAGAAAATCGTCATCTGCGCGTTCGGCCTGATGATAGTTGGAATTCGTAAGTGCCCAAGGGCGCCTCGGTGCTCATTTGGTCCCCGTTGGAATTCGTAAGTGTCCAAGGGCGCCTCGGTGCTCATTTGGTCTCCAATATACTGCGCGTTATAAGCGTATAGGCTAAAATGTTGCGCTCAGTTGTCTTTACGAAACATTTGTTTGTGCGACGAGGCACCATGGCTGTTGCCTCATAGCAGCGAAGAGGTCGCTAATCGGAGTTTTCATCTATCTGTGGCACATTTGCTATTTTTCGAAATACTTACGTTTTACTGGAGCCAGACATGTGCTTCGTCCCCAAAATTTCTTCCCGGGAATCGGCTCCTGGTTTCGAAACTAGGTAAAAACATGAACCAGGCTGGAATTAGGCCAAGGCAGCCAACAAGAACCAGGATCTTGCGTCACATTTAGCTGAAAGATCCTGCGAGATCAGGGATTCAGCCTCGTATGAAGTCGAGAGATCTAGCAGGAAACAAGATCCAGCATGGCAACAGCCGAAAGGTCCGACAAGAATCAAGATCTAATCTGATACCAAGCCAAGAAAACCAGCAGGAACCAGGCTCCAGCCCGGCATTATGTCTCAAAGCATGATGTTGGAAGATGCAGCAAGAACCAAGATTCAGCCTGGAACATGTAGACATCCAGTAAGAACAAATACCGAGTCTGAAAAAAACATAGAGATCCAGCAATAACCAAGATGCAGCTCAGGGTCAAGCTGGGATTCAACAAGAACTAATATCTAGGCTGGAGTGATGACAAAGCATGCAGCAAGGACCGGAATCCTACCAGGGATCCTGGTAGGATTCTGGTCCTTGCTGCTTACAAGCCTTGGTTTTCTGGGATCAACATTAGCGAAGTACTCCTCGTGGGTACAGTCTTTTAAAATAGTTTGGGAGGCGGAGCAGGGAAAATGGCTAACTCACACCTACTTCTTTCGTTAGAACTGGTTGTGCCGAAGCCACCCGGCAATATGGGAGCACACATCAGCTGTTTAATTCGATGACATAGATAGAAGCAATGTGCATTAATTATTTCAGAGAGCTGTCCCTAATTTTCGTTGTTTGATGCACCTCTGTCACAATGAGATCTTGCAAACAAATGCCGCACTTCGGAGAGTGGAATATGGAGAATGCACATAGTGAAGCTGGTCATTATGTTTTTCTGCATCCATTTAGTGTGATGTTAATGGCTCCAGCATCAAATTTTACCACTTGAAACATAAGCTTACCTCCAAGTCTGGTTAGTGAAACGTTTGCCGACGTGAAAAATTGCTGCCCACCACAATAACCTCAGGTTGACCAAAGTCATCGCTTCTTTGCTACACAATGGGCTTGCCAACAAGTCCTTGCTTACCGGTGACTGTTATGACACGTGCTCTCCAACCAAATAAGCTCTCAGTGGCGCCAAATACAGGTGATGGTAAGCTCCCACGACAGCGTCGTAGCAACATGATTGGAAAGTGCGTGCTATTGCACGTAAAATAGCGGCGGTATTCGACCCAGCGTCTTATTAACTGATATATCACGCTATGTTTCCCTGTTGGCCAAGGCAATAGAAAATGGGTAGCACCGAGCCGAACAACAGCACAGATCATACCGGATAACCTTGACCAACTGGTGTTCGTCAGATAACTAAATTTGGAACAATTTGTGTGCATGTAATTACGTTAAAGGGAATGTTCCATATTAAATATATAGAAACAAGCAACAGATCTGATGAAATAAGCATACATATAACTATTGACATATATATAAGAAGTAGTGGCTGCTATGGACAACGCGATTTCTATTTAGTAATTGTGCTCGTCAATCCGTCATTGTTTGATTGCGTTATCTTACCCCACGCAACATTAATTCAGAGCCAGCTGACGGCTGTTAGATCTCTTCACGTCTTCGCGGGCGTGTAGCTTAGAAACAACAGTTTTAGGTCTTATGAAGGACAGGGCCATGAACCAACCAATGAGAGCTAAGGACCAGGCCCATGGTCTGCTAAGAAACCACCGATAACCAGGAGCCAGGGTTTTGTTTTGTCGAAAGAAACAATGGAAATGAGAACGAATACAGGGAACCAGGCACGTTCTGAGTCTGACACGGTTAGTTGGTTTTGCTAACGTTTCCAGAATGCCAGTTTGAAGTTACGGCCTCATCTGCCACTGTAAACTCCAGTCTCTGGGCATCCGTGGCGTGGGGAGAAGAATGCTCACTCATTTTCTTGCGGCTTGCAAGTCCCGGAAGGCGCGCATTGGTTTGCTCGCCCGTCATGAAAATGCCAGCTGACAACTGGCCAGGACGGGACGGCCTGGCGTGCTTTCCCCGCGTTAGTCTGATAAGGCATGACAAGATTCGTCGGACTTTTGCCTGGCTTTAGAAGGCTGCATATGAAATTGTCGTATGGACTTTTGGAGCATAACTTTGGTGCCGGCTCGCGTGACCACCAAGCTCTTTTTAGCGAATACTCTGGCTCCAGAGGTATCCGCAAATGTTTTCACTTCTCACTGTGATGCGCAGTGGTGCCACGTATCCCTCGGCCGAAGACGCTGCTAGTCGTCACGTCGTTTTGTGACGCTGTTTCAGTGCTGCTGGCGACGGGTGTGATCATAGCGGCCGTGCCGATCGCCGGCTTCCAGAGCTTCGTGTTCATCATGGCGGGCGCGCTGTGCTTCATCCCCGGCGCCTACCACATCGCCTTCATCTATCTGGCGGTCAAGGGCCGCCGCGGCTACAGCTTCCAGCAGCTGCCGCTGTTCAACTGAGACGGCAGCTGTGCTGGTGCAGCGTGCCGCCGGTTCACAGCGCAAGCTTCCGCTGTCGACGGGCGCCGCCGCTGACCCGCGGAGGCTACCAGTGATATTATGGGCGGGCTCGGACGCCGCTGCTCACGGCGGCTGCGCTCCGGCTGCCTCGTGGCCAGCTGTCGAGGCTTCGCACCGTGCCAGGGTGGATATGCGTTCTCCCCCGTGCTACTGGTGTGCGTGCTGTATGTGACAAATGTGCTTTGGTGGCACCTCGTGTGCAGCAGACGCTTCTGCGCTCTTTGATCTCGGGAGTTCTGTGATTGTGAGTGCACTGTTTGCATTATTATTTTTTGTTTTTACTGCGTTTTTCGATAGAAGTGCTGCGGTCGTGGTGTGCGCCTGCGTTGAACGGTTGAGCAGCGACCGTGAAGCCATCTATCTTGCCGAGGGTCAGCGCCCCGGGACAGATCTGACGATAGACACGTGATGGCCCTATGACCTGGCTGCGCCGGCAAGGAGGCGGTGCTTCACACATGCTGCTCAGTGTCATTGTCCGTGTAGTGTTGTACGCAGGCGAGCACCGTTGTGAGCTGGCTGTTGCTGATGGCCGCGTATTGCCGTCGAATCGGTGAGAGTTCTGCTGCTCGACCCTCGCCTGCTGGAGCCGTCCTCCAGCCCTGGGGCCTGCTGCAGACCTGCGCCGCCGGTCAGACCGGCTGTCGTGCGGCACCGACTGACCCGGCGCGCGGCCACCCCGCTCTGCCCCCGGGGCCGGGACGGCGCGACGAGGCGTCTGTCACCGCCTCGGTATCCCGCTGATGACGCCCCTTCACCCGCCCCGGCGGCGTCGGTCCCGACCGTGGCAGCGCCGGCCGCGTCTGTCACCCGTCTGCCACATTCAGAGCCGCCGCAGCGCCTCCGTCTGTCGTTGATGCGTGAGTCGCCCCCGCCACCGCGCTGACCGCGCCGGTCGCCACTGACGGTGGTTAAGCTGTGCGCTCGTCCGGCTACCGTCGGTTTCTCTCGTCGCCTGCCTCGCTGGTATGATCTCGTGTGAACAGGGACTGTTCGGTGTACGCATCCGTTGTCACCCTGCGCCTGTAGTGGCTTGCCAAAGTCTCCACTGGAGGTGAGATGGTGAACCATTCCCTTGTCTGCAGCCCCGTCCGTCGCGAGTAAGGCTGGTACATGATATGCACGGCATTTATATGTGCGTTGTGAATCTGTGATGAAATACCACCATGCTATTTTTGAATGGTATTATCTTGCCATGAATTACAATATACTACCCGTGGTGATGTTTTGTCTTTGTACGAAAGGTATAAACTGAAACGGCCTGGCCGCTGCCTTACGGAGTTTCCGATAGTGTAGTGGTGAGGCTGGGCGCGTCGGAAACCAGAGGTACGGGGTTCCATTCCCGCGGTGCCCGCTGCCCCCGCTGGGGTGAGAGGCAGGCGACGCCATACAACCGCAGTAGCTGAGTGCGCCGTAAAGTCCCCATAATACGCATACACATGCACGCACGCACGCACGCACGCGGCTGCCTTACGGATGCATGGTATGTGTGCATGCATTCATGAAACTGCGACGTGATTCTTCCGATTTCCGGGTGTGTGCGTGTGTGTGCGTGTAGTACGTGTACTTGGCACCGCAGCGAACTCAGATGACTTCCCGCTCATGAGGTGCTGAGCGATGATACCAGTGTATTTCCGACGTCCGACGACAAACGCGGGCGGCGGGCCGTCTACGGACCCTGGATGGCCGATTGGCAGGCTTTCCGCGGTGTGCCTGGGACCAGCGCTGCGTGTGGACCGCGTGCACGTATGGCCTCTACGGAGGACTGCGGAGCAGTGACTGCCTTCTGGGCCTGAGCGTGATGCACGGTGTGTGGATGTTCAGGTCACAACCGTGCACGGGCGCATACGTTTGGACATTCAAAAAGCCCGTGGCGCGGTCCCACTGCGAGCTCAGACCGACGCGGAGGCAAATGTTCGATGTTTGTCCCCTCCAGCCTGAAAAGAGTAACACTCTGTGTCAGGGGTCATAATCGGTGCATGGGTCCCCATAAATTACATTTCATATCACTGGCCCTAGGGGCGGGAGCCCTTAATGGGACCTACCCTATGAGCCATTTAGCTTTCCAATGGGCCCCTTGGTCTTTCCTCTCAAAAGACCCTTCGGGCCCTTTTCGGGCCCTCTCAAACATCGCTCCTGGCCGACTCGGGCCACTCCCCGGCACTGTGACCCCCGACCGACACAGGTGCTCCTCATTGTGTCAGGGACCCCGAACATTGCAAATCGCGGGTCCCGAACCCGTCCCTGCCTGGGAAATGGGTCTCGAGGGCTCAGACCGACATGGAGATAACTGTTTGGCTCCGTGTCAAGGCCCTTTATAATATGGATAGAAAACCCTAATAAGCGGAACTTAATGGAAGCCCTTGTTTCAGGTCGTGGTATAGTAGACGACGTTTCAGGCCGTGGTACTACGGGTGGGGGCTGGATCTGGGTCCCATCGGGCCTTTGGTCTTTGGTCCCGAGAGGCCCTCCGGCCTCTCTTCGAACAATGCTGCGCAGGAAATCTTCAGGAATGTGAATTGGCGAAAAATGGCAATTTTATAAGCCTTTAATTTCATTCCGCAAACTTATGCCATACTACAGGTGTGACCCGTAACCAAAACGATGGGTTTTGTAAAGGTATGACATTCAGTGCTACTGAAGCGTTTCACGTACAACAGAAATGTCGACTAAATTACGCCGGCTTACCTACATTACATATTCGAATAGCAAAAGTCAATCAAGATGCGATAGTATACGCTACGATCTTGGATTTTATGTGATCATTTTTTCCTGGGAGGCGATATTATTGAGGAAAGGTGCATTAACCCAGTGATCTAGCCAATAAGACGCCATATCCAGAAGAAAATCTAGTACCCGCAAGTATGGTTCTGGCTGCCAGATCCACCTAACCTGTAGATCCAGTAACCGTGACATGGATCACGGCATAGCCATATAGGATATTTATGGTCCTTTATATCTATGGGCCATGGCCGTGGCTCTGTTAATCGCGGCAACACCATGCACATTTCAGCGCGTGACTCAGTACAACACCTCCGCTAAGGAGGAAATAAAGGGATAAATAACATCAGGAACCTCATAAAACCAGCCTAACTAAGCTGCACGGTTTCTTGGGATTGAACATCAAAGGAACAGGCAGAGTTGTAACTGGTACCACACTTGCAGCTTCAACAAGGAATTAGGGTAAATGGAGTACTGAATGGCAAGGTTTCGCAGCAAATGGCATAGTAGGTTCTGAGAGCCGATTTGTCTACAAGCAGGAATTTTGGAATTTGTGAAATTTGACGACTTTTGACCTGGCCTCGGGTCACCAAATTTTCAAATGCAAGAGTGAATCGGGTATGCCACACGGGTGGCGTATCCGATGTTGGGATGGGGCCGGGGGGCAAAGACTTATCGAAGCGCCCCTAAACCAATGGGCCCCTATATTACATTGAGGCTAGTTATTCCGTCGTCAAATCGAAAACAGATTCTTTCTGAGTCTACGATAGGCCTCTCCTGATCAGAGATGGGTCATTTCCAGGCATAAACGTGCATGGGCGTTTCTCATCTGGAAATGGACTCTTTTCTGACCCAAGACGGGCCCATCATAACTTGAAGGCGGAGCGAACACCGGGGGTATCAGAAACATACATGCCTCCCTTTTGGTCCAGCCCAGGCGCGCAGCCAGAGCCTTGGCAAGAGATGGGCACGGAGTTGACAAAGGGCCGCATGATAGTAAAAGCCCCCTCCCCCAAAATCGCCGAACATGGCTTATTTTCAATGAGGATTTACTTTTCTATTTTTTTCATTTGACCCTCTGACTGGATTAGAAGCCAGAAGCTACGCAAGATCACTTTGCCTGAATTTTATAGTCAATCAAATGAAGAAATCATGCCTTAAACAACTGTGAAAAAAACAAATCACCGAAGCTCTTCATTTTACAATGGTCCAGGGGACTCTTCCTACACCGATATAGCTCAGAATTTTTAAAAATACTTATATGAGCTGTACAGAGAATGAAGGCCCCTGCAAATGTAGATCGAAATGGGTCAATAATTTGCATAAGCATGGCCAATCCATATTTGTATGGAAACGTTAAATATTCAACCAGAATTTATAAGTGATACAAATTATGCACTGCAGTTTTAAGCATGCGCGCTCGCAAATCTTGCAACAAAAACCTTGATGCCAGGCGTTGCAGTCTCCACATGCCCGCGCAGCGTCGGGCTTGTGGCTAATATCAAACCGCGGCCAACGGATGGAAGGAAATGATGACGCATTTAAAAGCGGTATCTTTGAACGTTTTAGGATATCAAACCGTACAACTTTAGAAGGTAGCCGGGCGTATATTTTACCTCTACAACTTTCAGTTCGATGAAATGAATGCATTGGCCTTCACAGCACCACGAAGGGGTGCTGGAATCTGACGGTACAACTGGAGGAGTAAAGGTAGAATCTCCATTTTTAGTGTTGCTGTAGCTGTTAATCTGTTTAGAAGACATGTGAAAAGTTGCAAAAAGTTACAGACAGGTTAATCTTTGAATGGTACGAACTATTGTTTAGGGACATTGAAAAACATTGTGGTACGACGGTCGCTCTCGCGCGCACGGCACCCGCCGCCTGATTATACTTGCGGTGGCCAACGCCGTTGGGTTTTATAGAAACTGTAACCCAGGCTATCGCTGCCCTTTGTTCTGAGATTGTGGGCGTGCAGGCTCAAACCCTTTTTAAGTTGTTTTAAGTTGTTTTTTGTTTAAGTTGTTTCGCGGGTTGATTCTACAAAAGTATATATATTTTCTGGCAAACATGTGATGGTCTCGTTCGTTTCTGAATTCATTTCGACCCAGTCGATTCAACAACTAATGAGACCCTTTATTTCTTTCCGGCAACGCGACCCCCTTGAGAAAAACACTAGGTGGCACATTATTGTTCCCGGTCAAGGGCTGAAGGGTCATTCCGTCCCACCGCGTTGTGTCTTCCGGATGACATTCTGACGGCACGTGCGGGATCCCTAGCCAATCCGGAAGCCCCTAGAGGGATGTATCATATCACATTGGTCCCTCCCTGACGCGGGAGTTGTGCTGACCTGAGCTAAGCACAGTTGAACCCGGATTGATGCAGGAACCCTCATTGACGCCACAACATCCCTGACCGCCGCAGGTGGTCCACTAATTTGCACATAAACTCCATTTCGGCTTAACGGGCTCATGCTGACAGTGGGTTGAAGGGCCCACCGTTTGGTACCGGGGCCTCTGACCAGCACACCACCTTTTCATTGCCTCAGTGTGAACAATTATCATAAGCTCTCGTGTTTCCTGTTATTGTCAGAGGACCATGGCCAACGCAACAGGCCCTCTGTCATTTCGGGTCCCGTCCCCGTCCCTGATAACCAAATCTTCCCCTGACCGACTCGAGGCCCTTTGTTGACACATAATACCCTGTTAGATACTGTCTCAGAGGTCCCCAATGCGTGCGAGAAGCCGTCTAACTGGCAATTAAGATCACGACTGTGCGGGCGGAGATCCTCAATGTGACCTACAGCCAGCCCTTTTTGGGTTGTTCATCCTTCCAACGGGCCCTTGATCATTTGTCTGAAGAGATCCTTAGGCCCCTCCCCGTCTCCCGCAAGCACCGCTCTTCGCCGACTCAGATACCTCAAACATTGCAAATCGCGGGCACAGGCCTCGTTCCTGCTTGAAAAATGGGCCCAAAGCCTCGCACAGACATGGAGCCGACTGTTTGGCTCCGTGTCGAAGCCCCATATAAGAGGGTTAGAGACCCCTTATAAGAGGGCCCTAATAGGTTCCCACTGACATTTCAGGTCACGGCATAACAGGTGGAGGCCGGGTTTGAGTCTAATCGGGACCTCGATCTTTGATCCCAAGGGGCCCTCCGGCCCCTCTTCGGATCTCCTCAAACGAAGCCCGTGACCAACTAGGGGCCACTAGCCGAGGCATGACCTCCTGTTATGCACTGTTGGGCCCTGACCGGCACGAAAGCCCAAACCACTGTTTCAGGGACCCAGACTAGATCAAAGCAAATCTTAGCCCTCGGTCTTGCTCTTGCTTGGGAAATATGCCCCCAGGGTTCAGAATGGCAGCGAGCCAACTGTTCGGTATTCATGGTTGCTGGCCGACTTGTGATTCTTTATATGATCTACAGCCGGGCCTACAACCAATTCTTCGGGCTCTTATGCCCTCCCACGGGGCCTTTGATAG